GGGGGTTTGTAGATGGGGGTTTGTGTAATACGGGCCTAATATTTTACCTTAGATGGGGGTTTGTAGGATATGGGTTGGCCATTTTGAGCTGAGACTCAACCCCAATGCCTGGAAATCCCAGTTGCATAAGAATGGGCTACTGTAACCCAAAGTAGCAGGAAATCAGGGGAAAGTTGATTATAATTATGGGTAACTGGCTTTCTAGGTGCTTGAAAATCAAGCTTAAATGGGAAAGTAGCTGCTTTTCATCAAAGTTGCTGGTTTTCAAAGCCAGTGCCTGAAATTATTGGGACTGCACTAAAGGAGCTGATTTTCTGAAAGTCGCTGATTATTTCCAGGAACTTTAGCGCTCCAGGTCCCCATATACCCCCTATTCTACTTAAGGGGAACTATAGATGCAAACCTGAACCAGTACAGTCCTTGGTGCGACAAGGGCACGCTGGCCTGGCGGCTACCATCGGCCCCTGCCAGGGTGCCTAGGCTGCCGCTAAGAAGTCTCACATGAATAGTAAGGTAACATTGGGGTAATATTGGGGTAATACTAGGGATATATTAGGGTAATATTGGCTAGGGTTGTATTGGGATAATGGAAAATAAAATGGAAACTACTAGTTCAGGTTTAGGTTTCACAAAAATGCGGCCATGTTGTGGGCCCACATGATCGGGATTTCATTTTATTGGGGTATAAAGGGGCGGGCCTCCCCGTCTTGGAGAGCTTCACATGCCCCAAGCCCGATGCCTCCAGAGAATCCTCTACAGGATTGGTGTACAAAATTCTCAGCATATGGCCGTTAGAGCACGGTGCTCAACAAGAGGAAGTAGGAGCCATCTGCTTACAATGCATTTGAAGATAACAGGAGGTGAGAAGCCGTAGATCCTAATCCCTGAACCCCGGCCATATGTCATGCCCGAAAACGTAAACCCTAAACTCGGGTTTCAGTCACCCTGTCAGCCGGCTCAAGCGCTAAAGCCTGCGAATCCTGAATGCTGAGCCCCAACCCCAAGCGCTACCCACCTTGAACACATGCATGGAACCCACAACGCCTTCCACAAAAACAGAAAGTGTTCCGCGCTTGCTTGCGGTAGACTCCGAACAGAACTCCTACATGTTCGCTATGCCCTATGCGCTGTAGATCCTGAATCCTGTACTGCAATTCCGTACGAGTTGCTAGCACCCCAGGGCGAACCTCCATGGATCTCATTGAGATCAAACCTAGGTGATCTTCGGGCAGGATGTGCGTGGGATTTCAGGGTTGAATATTCTAAGGCATGGGTCTCGCGTCTAGTGTAATTAAGGGAGTAGATCTAAGGCATGTGGTTGAGGGTGTACTTCAGATCGTCAGAAGCTATGTGAAAAAACGCTCAACAGGTAAGTTTTGCGGGTCCCAGCACCTTGAACCCTAAAACCATAAACTCGAAGGCAGTATCTGAAAGGAAAATGCTTGGGATTGAGCAGCTTCTGTTGTTACTTGGTTTTTCTTTTGGAGATGAACGGCTTAGCTGCCCTGTAGGGCACTTAGGCTTACTGGTTCCTAGCAGGGAATACGGGAATATAATCTATATATATGCTAACCCCTCCCCCTAGGACCAACCTTGCAATGTTCCAAAATTCCAAAATTCCAAAATTCCAAAATCCCAAAATTCCAAA